TAGACAAACCCTAAGTGTAGTGTGTTCCACTACGGGACAGGTTTCAGGAATGGCGTCATTTTTGGAAGTTGTGTGACTATTTCCGATCACATGAATGACCTTTCGCGACTCTTTAAGTTGTCAACAGAGTCTGGCGTAGCGATCACACAAAAAGTCATGTGATTTACCCACTTCTGGCATCTTGGGAACGGAGATGAATTTTAAGAATCAAGGGAGATGAGGCGATGTGTTCAGAAAAGTTTTCAACATTTTCCCATCTGAAGTTATTCCCAAAGAAATTGGAGAAATGGAAGACCAGTCACTTTCCTGCAAGCCTCTTTTCTGTGCTTAAAATCCAACGGATTTAGAGGTTTTGGGAGCTTTTGTGGGGTTAAAAGGAGAGTGCAAAAAAACCCAGAGTCTCAAGATTATTCCTCAATCCGGGATCAAAGAGTAGCGTTATCAAAAATATTCTAGTGTCCGCAGGATAAAACCATTGACTCTCATTCTTCAAGGCCCTTTAAGGTCCTTTAAAGTTATGCAGGGCCCTATTCGAGTTCCCAGAAATTGATGCGCTACACATAGTTTAGGTCTTCGGGCCAGGGTCATTGAGAGCTGCCTTCGAGTTCTTATCTAATCCTTGGCTTGAGGTCACAACCGCAGGGGAATGGGGAGGAAACAGGCAGGGACAATGACCAGTCGAATTTGAGCACAGAAGTACAGTGCGGGCACTTTGCATATAGGACGATTTAGAGGTGGCGGACAGTAGTTCCGAACAGCATGCCGGACAGTAAGACAACTAGCTAACTGACTCACGGTGCGCGGTAAGGCAACTAGCTAAAAGTCAGCACCTTTTGAGCAGATTGCACTTGCTGAAGTAGAGGAATGCAAGGGTGTTGGTGCTATTTTTTTGTCGAATTTGTACTTATATACTTGTACCAATCCGGGGAATTCAATTCGGGTAGGAAAGATTTCGTTGTTGGAGGAGATTGCTCTAGGAAAGCACTGTTTTTGACGTAATTTTTTTGATACAGCGTTTGAACAAAATGTTTTCCTTTCAGGAGAGTGCATCAGTTCCTCTCGCGTTGGAGGACGGCTTCAGTAAGGATGAAATAGCGGGTTTCGAGGAGCTGCTGTGCTCGCCCAAAAAAGCCCCACCCACCAAATATCAATGTCATATCTGCTATCGAACTGGTCACTATATCTCCGATTGCCCGATGGTATGTTCCCCAGTTTTACGATGTTTGAATTTCTTTGGCGAATGTGGACGATCGTAATAATAGTGTACACAAAGTGTGACGGAGCAATCGTTCCGTCGCACACATGGTCATCCATAAGTATAAAGGAGATAAATGGAGGGGAAGGGGAGTACATGTCATTAAGTTAATCACAGAGAAGAGCGGACCTGATGTTGGAGGTGAAGAGAATTTCGACTTCAAACTCAAGAAATATTGTGGTTTCAAAGTATAAACACAGAATCGTCGTGGACGGGGACTGGCTGTTGGAAAAGGATAGTTGAATGCAGGAGGGTAGACTTTGTGACTGAGGATTTATGTAAAGTTCGTGTGTCGAGAGAAGATGAAGGACATTGTTATAATCAGGCCATAGTAGAAAACTTTTCACCAATGTGCGATGTATGTCAGCGCTGATGTTTTTCGTCGAGCTGCCTCGCAAAAAAAAACAGAAAGTTTAGTGGACGAGTTTTCCCATGAAATGGAAGCGTAAGAGATTGAATGTTAAAAGAGTTGGTAAGGAGAATGAATGGCAAAAGGAGCGGGATCTCCTGGCCCATCTTTTCCTTTTCCTCATACAGTCATGAAAAAGCAAAAACTCCTCTCCAAAAACCCCTCCCACGTGATTTTCTGCTCCTATGCGACTAACTCCCTATTCGTCGGCGGTTTCAGCTCCAAAAAGGTTCTCGAATGAGAATCGGGGAATACGAATGTAGAAGTTTTGGACAGGGACGAGTTCAACGAACGGGAGTTTTTCGCAAAAGGGGTAACTCTTAAAATGCAAAGGTTTTCTCACCAAATCAGCCGGACCCTCTCTTCCGTCCTGACGGCGTTGTTTTCGACAACGANGCTTGAGGTCACAACCGCAGGGGAATGGGGAGGAAACAACAGGAAGGGGCAATGACAAGTCGAATTTGAGCACAGAAGTAGAGTGCGGGCACTTTGCTTATAGGACGATTTATAGTTGGCGGACAGTAGTTCCGAACAGCATGCCGGACAGTAA